GAGAGAGGTCTTCTATCTGCCAGTTCACTCTTCAAATTGCTGCAACAGACAGAGCTGAGCCAAACCAAAGCCAGGAGCCAGGAGCTTCTTCTGGGTCTCCCATATGGGTCCAGGGGCCCAAGGAGTAGGGTCATCCTCTGATGCTTTCCCAGGTGCATTAGCAAGCAGTTGGATCGGAAGTAGAGGAGCGGGACTCAAACCAGTGCTCATATGGGATGCCAGCACTGCAGGCAGGGGCTTTAACCTGCTGCACCACAGCACCAGCTCTTAATAAATAAATCTTAAAAAAAAAAGTCTAGAACAGTGAACTCACACATACACAGATACTTCACACACATTTGTTGTGAAGGATAATGCCCAAAACAACATAACATTTGTAAAACAATACAGAGGGTAATCTAGAAATATAACCACTATGAAAAGCTGTATTTTTCTTACAGTTAGCTGTTACATACCCATATGAGTTACATTTCATAAAAAAATTGACAAATCCAAGCAAAATCACTGTTACAGTCACTGAAAAGAGTTAACTCATTCAAGATAAGCGAATGTGGATTTAAAAGCTGCACATTTCCTTTCTTCCTTTGTTTAGAATGGGAGTTTTCATTCTTTAAAGGAGCTGAAAATATTCAACTCATTCAGAGCAAAGATGTTGGCTGAGACAATTGGGCACATGAGTCATGCACTTCCCAGCCTAAATGTTGTTTCATGTTAATGAAAAGTTGATTATTTAGTAACTATTTATATTAAAGTAGAATGATAAACAATAATATCTGAATATGTTTCTAAAGTTTTTACCAGAACACAAAGACAAATTGTTATAGGAATTCAGAAAAGGAATTTCCAATTGGAGAGATCAAAACAGCTTCATGGCAGAGTTGCCATTTAAACTGGACTCTGCCAAGTAGCTGTGGACAAGAAATGAAGAAGCAGAGGTACAGGGAGGGTAGGTCATTCTATGTGAAAGGAACAGCTCGAGAAAGGTTTAGGATGAAATATCCACAGTATACAACACATAGACAAGTGGTAAGAGATGAGATGGAAAGTGAGAACAGGGAGGGTCTGTCTATATCTGTACAATATGGTAGCTGGCTACTTAAGCTGAAAAGAATTAAATTTAAACAGAGCTGCAAATTCAGTCCCCTATTCAGAATAGTCACATATTTCAAAAGCTTAGCGGCCATATGGGCTGGTGGCCGCCATGGTGGAAAGCACAGACATACAGTATTTCCATTGTCCTGACTTTTTTATGGGGGGACAGTCTCATCTGTGTGGTGCTTCTCCTTGTTCCTCAGGCACAGTGAGCCACCACAGGTTTTTGAGGGCACTGACATATTGAGAGCTGTATTTCAAGACGACTAAGCTGGAGCTATATGTGGGAAGAGATGAGTGAGCAGAGGATCTGGAGCCTAAGGTAATGGGGCATGTAGGGGAAGACATGTTTGTCTCATGTGTCAGAGAGACACAGAATAGGGGACAGGAATTCTGCACGTTTCAGGACATGCCATGTGGGGAAAAGAGATGAGCCATAGTTATCGTTTATTACTGCTTTGACTTTTCAAATAATTTCATTAGAGTGCAGGGTTCACTGGAGATCTGTGAAAACCAAAGTCAGCTTTAAAAGCCTCAAAAAAGACCCCTGAGGAACTAGACAGTGAAGAAACAGGGTTGAAAAGGGAGAGGCATCCTAGAAGAGACTACAAGTGACCCCCTAGAGGTGACCCCGAACATACACACACAAAGGGCAGGGTGCCTCACTGTGGCAAAGTGCTCAGCAGAAAGAGCCTATGGAGGCCCTTTAAAAATGATGGAATGGCTTCTAAAATATAAAAGAGAATCAACTACACACAGGCTTGATCACTGCTTTGTATCAAACCCAAAAGAAGGGCCGGTGCCACGGCTTACTTGTCTAATCCTCTGCCTGCGGCACCAGCACCCCAGGGTTCTAGTCCTGATTGGGGCCCTGGATTCTGTTGCTCCTCTTCCAGGCCAGCTCTCTGCTGTGGCCCGGGAAGGCAGTGGAGGATGGCCCAAGTGCTTGGGCCCTGCACCTGCATGCATGGGAGACCAGGAGGAAGCACCTGGCTCCTGGCTTCGGATCAGCGCGGTGCGCCAGCCGTAGAGGCCATTTTTGGGGTAAACCAACTGAAAAGGAAGACCTTTCTCTCTCTCTCTCTCTCTCTCTCACTGTCTAACTTTGCCTGTCCAAAAAAAAAAAAGAGAGAGAGAGAGAGAGAGAGAGAGAAGGTAATTAGAACAGGTTCATATAAACTTCTCAATAAGAACACTAGAAACAGCTTTAAAACAGAATGTGATTGCAAGGATGCAGATGAGATTTCCTGCCACTTCCTCTTCTGGTACCTGCTACTCTGTTGTCCTAATTTCAACCACTGATTTTTTAAGCAGACGGGACACTGGATTCTATAATCTAAAGCATTTCCAGGAGGTAACAACAGATTTTCAGCAGACTGGGTTTTACACCAGGAACTCTTTCCTCTGGTGCACCTGAAAGCTTTCTTTCACTTGGCTCCTTCAGCAAGACCTTGTAAAGGGAGGACATCCTTATGCATACCCACAGACCTTGACGTCCCCTTCCAACCCATGAAAGTGTCCATCAACAATAGATACCCCTTCCCACCAAAGGACTAAGCTGTTTTTTCTTGATGAAAAGAATGGACTACAACAGAATCTGTTCTTTGTGAAACTGAAAACTCGGACCCAAACGTATCATCCTAAAAGGGCTACAGACTTGTAGGAGTGAAGAGGTTAAATAGCAAAACACACTACTCTTCCTTCCATGAAGATATCAGAAGTTCTTTGATATTTTCCTATATTAAATCTTAGCCTAATAATCCTCTGCCTGCGGCGCTGGCACCCCGGGTTCTATCCCGGTTGCCCCTCTTCCAGGCCAGCTCTCTGCTGTGGCCCGAGAGTGCAGTGGAGGATGGCCCAAGTGCTTGGGCCCTGCACCCCATGGGAGACCAGGATAAGCACCTGACTCCTGCCTTCGGAACAGGGCGGTGCGCCGGCGGCCATTGGAGGGTGAACTGGCAAAGGAAGACCTTTCTCTCGGTCTCTCTCTCTCACTGTCCACTCTGCCTGTCAAAAAAAAAAAAAAAAAATCTCAGTCTAGCAAAAGAGACTGATTCTCTGAGAACTGGAGACAAAAAGCAACATATTTTATAGTGAGTCAATTTTAAAATATTTTACATTTCTTTCACTGAGTAAGGAAAAATAATGAAATTCCAGCCCTGTTAATTGACAGCAAGTACAACTTTTAGGATTCCAAAAAGGTGCCCCAAATTGCTTTCTCCTCAATAAGTTTATGGGCAAGCCAGTTCTGGTAATTGTCTTTTCCTCTCTACTTATGTTCATATGCATACCCGTTTAGACAAATGCAAAACTGAAAATTTGTGTATAACTTTCCAGATGACTTTACTTTCATTGAAACAAAAGATCTACCACTGTTGGAAGAGGAGGAATCTTTCAGAAAGTTCCTCCCTTACCTCCTCATGATCTCCCAGCACTGGCTCATGGTAGAGCCCTTGGGGTGGGTTAGTTTTCCCCAGGGCACCCCTGAACACAGGCTTCTCAGCTTGCTGGGAGGAGAAGCACATAGTCACACCTGTCAGCATGGGCCATGGTGGGACCAGGGCTTCTCTACAGAGCAGGCAGATAATGTTGCCAGCTCAGGCCCACAGGGTGCTTACTGTATGCCAGGCCTCAACCTAGGAGTTTATGTATAGTAACTAGTTTTCTTTTCACAACTAGTCTGTGAAGTAGGTCCAATTATTTCACCCCAACTTTATCGATGAGGGAAGAGAGGCATGAGGTCACCAGTGGTCAGTGGTGGAGGTGAGATAAGAAATCTGTCAGGCTGCATCCCCTGCCTGGATCAGAGGAGCATTTCACAGTCACATAAGCCATCTCAGGAGAAAAGCAAGACTGCAAGGGATATGTGGCAGTCTGTTAAGTGAGTGCTGCAAGATGTTAAGCACATCAGAGAAATAGGATTAGGGCTTAGATATCACAGTAGAAAGAAGGCCAGAAGGTCAGGGCCCAGGAGATTTGACATGGAGGCCCACCCCAGCACACAGAGCAGCCAGCAGCCTCTGCCTAGCTGGAGTCAGCCTGGCTCTCAGGCCTCCTGCCTTCTGTCTCGGACTGTCCTCAAGCCCTCCCCACACATTCATTAAGAAGTCTTTAGAATTACATAGAGAGGAGTCTGTACTGTGGTGCAGCAGGTTGCTTCCTGTTCCAGCCTCCAAACCAGCTCCCTGTTAATGTGCCAGGGAAGGCGCAGGAAGATGACCCAAATTCTTGGGCCCCTGCTATGCACAAGAAAGACCTCCTGGCTTCTGTCTGGCAAAGCCCAAGCTGTTGTGGGCATCTGAGGAGTGAATCAACACGTGAAGAGCTCTTCCTATCCCTCTCCCTCTCCCAATTCTGTCATTCTGCCTCTCAAACAAATAAATGAATCTTTAGAATATACATATATATGTATATGTATATAATTATTTAGTGAACCACTGCTCTTGTCTTTACCCCTTTCCTTAAAAATAATACCGCTCACTCCACCCCTGCTCCAAAGAGTCAAGAAAAACGTCTACAAGTTCAAGAGTTTTTGTGCAGTGCTGTGGTTGTGTATGACTACATTTTAGGAATGCTCGCCAAGAGGGAAAGTGTGCCATGCAGGGACAGCCCCATCACCAAGAATGGCTTATTCAATAACCTTTCCTGGGTCAACAACTATAATCTGGCAGCCAGAACTCACTTTTCCTTCACAGCTGGTGAAACTTGGACTAGTATCTGACAGCTAATCTTCAATCAGTCATGTTTTTCCCAGAGCCCTGAACACCCAAGAAAGACAGGCCTGGCCCCATCCCACCCCACAGCAGGGCAAAGGTTAAAGTTGGGGACTTTTTAACAGAGGAAGGAAAAGGAGCCCTCCACAGTGCAAATCTGAGTGACACAAGTTTGCATAGATTTTAGGATCTTACTTGTAGTTTTTCTCCCAGAATTTCACTGGCCTGACATATGATGTGATGAAAATGACACTCCCAAGAAATGGGCTCAACGGAGTAGAAAAGATTGACGTGGCAATCGCCTGAAAGAAAAGCATGGCAGAGTCTGAGAATGTTGAGTTAAGGCAAAAAACATATATATGTTTTCAATTCTACTTCAGATTTTGCCTAGTTGTCTCTAAAGCTGTTTTCTCACCAGAGAAAGGACAATCTCTCTACACACAGATTTAGAAATATAAAACCTTCAGCAGCATCCTGCGAGGTCTCATTTCACCATGTAAACCAAATGATTCTCATAAACAAACCCCATTGCTCTCAGTCTAATTCATGGCAAGGATTTAATATCTAAGAATTGAAAAGAACAATTTGTTCCAGGATGTCATCAGCTGACAGAACACACTGTGATATATTTACTAAAGGACTCAGTAGCTTAATAAATTATTAAAATTAAATTATACTCTAAAAAATAGATAAATAGCATTGTCTGGGAAGGTGAAATTTCTGTTTCTTGAAGAATCTTTTGCCACTATTAAAAAACTATATATATATGTATATATATATATATATATATTTGGAACAAGGACATAAGCCTCAGCCTTTTTAGGTTTCTTATTACCCCTGCCTTCTTTCACCCCACCCCTGCATTCTTCCCCAGATTTGGAAGCCAGTGGACCAGACCAGAAGAACCAGTATGGAGAAGCTCATCTCTGCCTACTGCCTCCCCACTCCCACCCCTACCCACCTAAGATAGAAAAGGGCCCAGACTGCTAGGGTCTGGGCCTCTGCCATGAGTTCAGTCTATAAGCATGATGGCAGTTGGTTGACCTCTGCAGATTTATTTTCTCTGAATAAATTCGGTATGTTTGCAGTTTGTATTCTGTCTCCTCTCTGTTCTGCACCTTTTCCTAACATTTTTGGTGCCCTGTGTGAGGCGGCATCAATCTGTTCCTCTTTTGCTAACATTCTGGTGCCCTCGTGAGATAGCACCAATCTGTGCCCCTTTTTCCTAACATTTTGGTGACCTGTGTGAGGCAGCACCAACCTGTACCCCTTTTCCTAGCATATATAATACAGTGAACATCAGTGGCTCAATTCATGTCTGATTTATAAGTTCAGACTGCATACATACAGCCTTTGTGAACCAAGCCACCTCTTAAGCACTGTTGTGTGAGTCTCTGAGATACTGGCATGCCTTGATTTCACATACCCTGTTTGCTCAGAAACGGAAGAGTTTAATATTAATTTAATACTGTTGTAGCTGTGGCTTAAGCCTAATCTCTGGAAATTGGGGATGGGGGGCTGTGGAAACAGCAGTTCTTTGAACAGGCTGGTCAATGCCCACATTCCTGTAGTGCAGGGGTATGGTGGGGCCTGGGGATGGAGGAACAAGACTCCATGGCAGATGTGGTCCGAGGAGGGCCACACTGCATATCCTTCCTGTTCTACCAGGTGTGAGGACCAGGATCTCTCCGCTCCTCTACTCCTGTCTGGTCCACCACCTACAAGGCTGATCTTGCCTACTGGAAGAGAATGACAGCCGTGCTCTCACTGCTGCACAAATGGAGGTCTTATCCTGCAGCTGGGTTGTTCAGGAAGTTTGGGCACTGGGTAAGAAAGAAATGCTTGGCTCTGATTGGGAGACATCATGTGTCATTATCAAGCAGGACAAGGGTGTAACTCAAGCTTCACTGTTCTAACAGAGTCTCATTGGCAGGGCCTCTGGTTCCTTGATAAGGGTGGGGGTGGAGGCAGTTCTTTAATGGTCCCATTTATATGTAAACTATAGAGAGGTAATTGAGCATTGTGCTGTCCACATATATGGTCCCATATATTTTCCTAGACTTAAGATCAGATTTTTGCTTTAAGAGTAGAGGAGCCTCTTTATCCACTTTCTATTTACTCGTAAACATCTTCAGGGATGAAATGATCTATTTTCTATTAATAATCCATTCCCTTGAGGAATTGTTTAGGTACCAAAGCAATCTCTGCTGTGCTGCAATTTAAATCCAATTCCTTTTATTTTGACCTGGGTGCACATGGAGGAACAGAGAACAAGATGCTACTAAAAGCTGAAAACACCTGTCTAGTGGCAGGAGTATTTAGCTATTTTCAGCTTTCTGCCTAAAGAAACTGATGGGTGATATGCAGGTAGCATTCCTGTGCCTGTTGTCACTCGAGGAAAAGGGAATTGCATGAGGTATCACTGAGTAAAGACATTGAAAAGTATTAGAAGGCAGAGTCAGGTTGCAGGTATGGGTTTCTGAGGGCAGATGTTAAGGAGGAAAGGAGAGGTAAGTGCCCCCTAGGGTGACAGAGGGTTGCTCCGCAGCTTGCAGGGGACCTAGGACAAAGCCAAGGGAAGCTGGGCTGGGCAGGGTGCTATCGGGCATTGCTCTTTTTCTGAATTCTAACATGTCCCCAAAGATTATGTTGTACATCTTTAAATGCCAGAAGCAATTATCTAGAAATTAAGAAGTGAGGAAGCAGTGCTAGACTTTAAATAAAGTTCAGTGTGGTAGGAAAGGAAAGGAAGTCTAACAACATGCTAGGGAGGCACAGAATTGAACAGATGGCCTCAGAGAATGTTTGGGGAAAGATCAATAAAGAAATGTAGCTGGGTCTGGGCAGACAGGAGAGATGGTGATTGTTCCTGGGAAAGCTGTGCGGGAGAGAGGGGCTCCAGACACCCCAGGAATGCACAGCCCTCCTGTATTTCTTTCTGAGAGAAACAGTCAACTTAAAGCAAAATCACTAGAAGCTCAAAAAGATGTACCACATAGAAAGTAGCCTTCTTGACACACGAGTTTAGTAGAGAAAATCCGGCGCAGTCTCTAATTATGAGGAGACAATCATCTTGTATGGTCTCTGTACACATTGAAAGGGTAGGCATTCTCATCTTCCCCTGGAGATTACAATCTCTGAAGCTAACAGCGGCTACCAAGGGAGAAAACGTGCTAGCACTAGAAAAAGCAATTTACCAAACAGTGCCCCGCTGGCCTAAAAGCTAATTCAGTTCCAAAATGGAGCAAATTAGTCCCTTCTCAATGCTGAGATGGAACCCACAGCTTTGTAATTGGGCGATAAAACAATTAAGGCTTCAACATTAGTCAAGATCCAAGGCTAACATTTAGGAATGCAATAGCTTTGTCTGGATGGCAGATACGTCCAGTTTTCTCAACTTATTTATCTCATTATATTCTGAACAGGATGCTGTTGTGCTCCAGGTGGCACATATCCACCTTAACAACTGAGCAACCATGGGGAGGTGGCTGAAGTGAGAGAGAAGCAGGAAAGGTCCCATAAGCCCCAACTGAGCAGCGGTGACAACTTCCACGGAGGGCCGTCGGAAGCCTCCAAAGAAGCAGGTGTCACTAATAGGGCACTTTCAGGAGCAAAGCATGGGGACTGATCTTCTAAAATAGAACAACCAGATGCTCCATGAAATCAGTATCTCAAATGTTTCAGTTTTTAAAGAGAATGAGTCTACATATCATCAAACTACTTAAGATGCAATGTGTGTAAGCTGAGATAAATGCTAATAGTACTTTTATTATTAGAGGAGATATTAAGTGCCAGGTATCATGCGCTTGTGTGTGAACCCTCAACACACACATAGGAGCCAAAGCAATTGACAGTTATGGCTCCCAGAGCAATCTTCATCTGGAACTACAAAGGAATAATTAGTACTACTGAATTCACCTAACAAGATGTAATCACCCATAAAAAACGCTACAAGATAGAAGTAAACCCAAAGTTATGATAAAACTGGGAATAATAAGTTTCAACTTTTAAATTCTTAGTGTAACTCCTCAACTACAAATTTGCATTAATCTGATAATTTTCATTTAATAAACATGCTTTAAATTCTAGACAGGGAACCTTATACATACACATCAGAAATAAATAAAAAAATCATCTTGCGGTTCCATCTCTTTGTATTTATTTTAAAGGACTCTTTTAGAGAAACTAAAATGGCTGGCATTATAGAAAATGCTTGCAGTTGAAGGGGGGGGGTTTACAAACTTAGGCTTTTACAAGTAGTTTTTTCCCCCTTAGTTTTAGTTTTGCCAAATATACCTGAAACACTTTAGAAATATCACTGAAAATCAAAGAATAGAAACATGAAACAATGTGCATTGTGTGGCCGGTTGTTGGTATGCTTAATAATATTTTTTAAACAAATGAGTCTGGAAAATAGCCTTTTTAAAAATATATAAAAATGTATAATATATTATCATTTATCTTAAGTATGTTTCCACTCCTGTATACAAAGGTCAGGTCCCAGATGCTCCTTATGAATTGTCTTAATGAGCCTTATGGAAATTTCATATGAAAGGAAGCTCCAAGTAGTCTTATTAAAACTGGCTAATAGCACCAAGAATGGATTGCTCAAGTTTAGAAGTGGCACACACACCAGTGAGCATAAGAACCTCTAAGGAAGTCTGTGAAGGTGTGGATTTCAAGATCCTACCCCCTGAAGTTTGATGTAAAAAGTGTGACCTGGGTCCAGGAATCTACTTCTTAGCAAGTTCCTCCAGGGATTCAGGCACAAATGGTTTCTGAGCCACATTTTGGAAAATACAGGTATAGAAAATGTAAATTCAGTGGGTAAGGAAAGCTTTAAGGGTAAATTTTCTCTCCCCCTCTCTCTCTGTCCATATACACACACACATAAGATTTAACTATCTATGTCAAAGTGATATTTAGGAAGAGTACCTCAAAATCATTTTGAAGTATGTTAAAACTAATGGTAATTTTGTAAACACTTAAAAACATACAAGGAAACTGAGACTTCTTGGCTAGTAGCTTCTTGGCTAAACAAAATCATAATTCATTTTTTCAATCTTCAAAAACACCTGGGTGATTCCAATACTGTCTAATTCTGAGTAGATGAACATTAATGAAACATATATATGATAACTATATTATGTCATAATACAATAAATGTAATAAATAATAATATATTCAATATATCAACCCTATCCACAGTGTTCAATAATGGCAAATTGATTTGCATTATTTTGCAGAAGTCAATCCTATCATTTACATGGTAATTTTCTTTTTTTTAAAGATAGGATATCTTAATGCAGATTTGGGCATGGGGGATGGAAGGATCAGAAAAAAGTTGAAGTAACTCTTAAATATGCGTTAAGAAACATCTTTTAAGATCAAGTGGTCTAAAGGGAATCCAAAGTGCCTCCTCATGTCCTCATTAATGTGTAATATTAAAGACTTCAAAATCTTTTTTCCTGCCAGAATTCAATGAAAAACTGGCATCTGTGAAATGTGAATCTCAGCTTGGGAGTGAAATCAGAAGCAGAAAGGATATGAGGGATTGCAAAGAGTTGAGCAAATACGTGGAAGGAAGAACCCCAAGCCATCTGCCAAGGTGCCACATACGTCATGATGAACTGTAACTTGTGAAGCAGGTCCCCGAGCTGAAAGCAAAAGAAAAAAGGTTTGATCAGAGAGGACACCAACAGTGGTAGCTGCATCAAGGTCATATACAGAACATGTGTCAGTTAGAAAGGGCCAATGAAACTGATCTTTTCTCTATTCCTCTTACCTTCCTTTGTCCTGTCAGCATTGCAGCCTTTTGATGGTATTTCAAAATAGCAACAGGCTGATCAGAAGAAAGCTTGCATGATTAATCTCAATAAATTTATCATTTTGGCCTATGGACATGGTATATCTCTGCTTTTCTTAGGAGAGTAATCATAGCTTAGTTTCCTGCTTCATATGGGAACTTTTAGACACAGCGGTAGAGAACATCTGCCGGCCCATGAAATCATTTAGTCTGGCCCTTCCAAGGCAACTTCAGGCAGGACTCAAAATTCAATAAATCTATTGTAGGTTATTCTTTAGGTTGATAATTTTGTATGGTCCACACATGAGGGTATAAAAACCCAAATGGGGACCGGCTGTGGCACAGTGGGTTAATCTTCCACCTGCGGCGCCAGCGTCCCATATGGTCACCAGTTCTAGTCCTGGCTGCTCCTCTTCCAATCTGGCTCTCTATTGTGGCCTGGGAAAGTGGTGGAAGATGGCCCAAGTCCTTGGGCCCCTGCACCCGTGTGGAGGACCCGGAGGAGGCACCTGGCTCCTGGCTTTGGATTGGCCCACCTCCGACAGTTGGGGCCATTGGCGAGTGAACCAACGGATGGAAAACCTTTTTCTCTGTTTCTCCCTCTCACTGTAACTCTACCTCTCAAATAAAAAAAAAAAAAAATCTTAAAAAAAAAAAAAAAAAAAAACCCACCCAAATGGCCCTTGGCAGAAAAAAAATTCTCCACTCCTGCAGGGAGATTAATGCACAAACCTATTATTGACAGTGTTGAGGTTTTTCTGCATTAATTTCATTTTATCTCCTCAACTGTTCTTGCTGGGGAAAACAGCTCCATACCATTGAACTTCAAGCCAGGATAAGATCTGGGAGCTGTTGCTTTGGTTAGATAAGCCAGCACACAAAAAAAGTGAGTTTTGGGGAGATGTAGAGACCACAGAAGAGAGCCCTTAGATGGACCAAGTCCAAGTCAGGAGGAATACGAAGGGGTGAATATGCTCAGTGATTTTGGCTGGATTCTAGATTATGAATCTATGAATCATAATATTCTAGATTGTGAATATGCAGGGAAAGATGGAGAAAAATGAGTTTCCCAGTGTGTACACTTCCGTTTATGGTTGGAATAGAAGATGAATCTCAGATGCAAAATTATGCTGCTGTCATTTCTAGATGCAGTCAATTAGTATTCTACCAGTACCCCCAACCCCCCAAATCCACATACATTCTTTATCCATAATGAAAACTTCAAGTGGTATGATGTGTTTGCTCCTAGGCTAAAACAATAAAACACATTCTTCAAGGCCATGGATATAAGAAGAGAAGGACAAATAGAATTTTTATTAGGCTTAATAGCTATTATATAGAATAGCAAAAAGTCATCATGAAAAGAGGCCATGGGTTGGGAAATAGGGTGAGTAACAAAAAGTTCAAGCACAGAGATAACAGCCCTTGAATGAAATGTCTACCTGTGGTTTTGAAACCAAAAGATGAAGTGACTCTGATTTGTTCCATGAAAATATAATGACCCAAAAGAAGGCTAATTAGAATCCTTCCCAAATCTTCCTAAATTTTTCTTGTCTCACTTGATTCTCACCAATATCCTGGTTTTGAAGAAAGTTTACAGTATAATTAAAGATTGTTAGAGAAACCATAGAAGATGAACCAAGGATAAAAGGCCTCTCAGAGGCACAGCGAGCACACAAAACCATTAGGAGGCCACAGGCATCATGTTAAGTATAGAACTTGGTTGGGGGCGAGCTCAATTTGCCCATCAGGGACTCTCCTCAGAGACATTTTAGGTGTAAACTGAAGAATTTCAGATAGAGAAAAGAGATGGGTAGGGTTGCCCAGGAAAGAGAGAGAGAAAAAAAGAGGGAGAGAGGAAGAGAGGGAGAGAGGCAGAAGGAGGAGAGGGGGAGAGGGGGGGAAGGAAGGAGAGGGAGAGGGAAAAAGGGAGGGAGAGAGCTGGAGAGAAGAGAGAGAGAGGATCAAACACAGAAGCAAATAAGGAAGGTGGAGGGATATGAAGGGACAGATAAAAAAAGAAAAGAAAAATGGAAGAAAAAGTAAGATGAGACTGGGTACGGGCTACTATAAAGGAATATGAATACTGGGAAAGGAAAACTGGTGTCTAAATTTTGCTGAAACTCTTCACTTTCTTTACTCTCACTCATTTGCATCAACAGGGGGTTGAGCTCAATGGCATTTAAGTTCTTTCAGAATGACCACTATGGCTTTAATCCTGGGCTTTGTTTAAGCCACCAGAATCCATTCCAGATGGGATTCCATAGTCCCCTGTGCCTGTGAGAGTCTAGTAATGGAGAACACAGCATTTTGGTCAGCTTGAGGTTCCAACTTTCATGAATAAAAAATAGAGTCTGTGGGGAGCAACTGGGAGCAACTCGGACTAGACTAAGTTACTGGAATTAAGACTTATTCTATACATCTGCTCTCCCACAATATGGCGCTGAGAAGGGAGAAACAGCTTCTACGCAGCTGCCTCCAGTTCAACCAATAAACTGTAGGACCTGCTCCTGATTGGAGGAGAGCAGCATACTCGGCGTGTGGGTAGCAGAGTTGGGATTGGTGGAAGAGGACTATAAAGGAGGAGAGAGACAACATGCACCAGGAACATCTAAGGGGAACATCTATCTGAAGGAACACCTGTGCAGCCCCCGAGAGAGCCGGCCGGCGGTGTGCCGCTCCCCCGCGGAAGTGGGGAAAGTGGCCAGGGGGAACCGCCCTTCCACGGAGGTGGAAGGGACAGTAGCCAACCCGGGAAGAACCAGCAGCAAACCCGGGGAGGGCCGAGCAGACGAAAGAACAGCGCAGGTTCCTGTGTCATTCCTCCACGAAGACGGGGAGCGACATAATGGTGCCGTGACTCGGATATGAAGCCTAGGCAGGGTTTAGTGTCGTTCCTCCACGAAGAGGGGGAGCGACAGAGTCTTCTCCCTACCACCCTTTTTTCAGCCAATAGGTGACTTGCAGAGAGAGAGAGAGAGAGAGAGAGAGAGAGACAGAGAGACAGAGAGAGATGGTAGTTCCAACAGACACTTGACACACTTCTGTGAAAAGACATGATTTCTTTTCAAACCCAATATTCTTTCCTTTCATCCCCACCATTAGCACAACCAAGAAAAGACCATGTTAAATTGCACAAAGCATTCAAACACACGATGTCTGGTCTACAGCAAAAGCAAAAGTCCTAAGTGATGGCAAGCTCTTTTGCTAATTTATGTCTAACCATACTCTATCACATAAAATATTTCCAGATTTGAAATTCTCTATTCATCGGACTGTTAAGAATTTTTAGTTTAGTTATTAAGAATTAATCTTATGACTCATTCCTAAGTGAAAACTGTAAGCATGAACAAGACTACCTTATATGATGGGTGGCCCCCAAATGCCCTAAAAATGAATCATGGGTTATGGAAAGTTACTCCTGTTGGAGTTCCAGTGTATTACTGTATCCTGGGAGGCTTTTAAGCCACCTTCTGAAAAGCTGATAAGTAGGTCAGGCATAGCAACTACAATCAGACAGGCTGCCCCAGGGAAAGCCTCATCTGCAAATTTAAAGCTCTAACAAGTTCAACTTTGCTGTATTATGATTAAATGAATTTATTACAATTATTTTTTGCTTATCACAGCAACTTGTATTTACACATAAGCAAAGCCAGTAATCAGACATCTAAGGATTCCAAACACAAGCACTCTCATGCTCTAATTGCAGCCAAGGCCCCAGGTATCTTCGCTCTTTTCCTGTCTCTCCATTTTTTTTTTTTTCATGAATATGGTGAAGAATAAAATGCATGCTTTGCAAGAGATTTTCAAGATGAAGCTTAAAAATAGCCTTTGCTATTCTCAACCATGAAAAGGACAGATCTCTTGAAGGTCAGTTCTTTATATATTTATGATTCTTCCACAACACAGCCATGTAATGCTTCTCCACAAAGCTCAGCAGAAAAAGGGATGTGTTGTAGCCAAGTCAGAAAGCAACACAGCACAATGTTTAAGAGCATGGGCTTGGGGAGGGCATTTGGTACAGTAGGTAAGATGCCTCTTGAGATGCCTGCATTTCATATCAGAGTGCCTGGGTTCAAGTCCAGTCTCAGCTTCTGATTTCAGCTTCCTGCTAATATGCCCTCTAGGAGGCAGCAGGTAATGGCGCAAGTACTTGGGTCCCTGCCGCCTACATGGGAGACCCAGACTGAACTTCAGGCTCCTGGTTTCAGTTTATTTTAGCCCCAGCTGCTTGGGCATTTAGGGAGTGAACCAATGAATGGAGGATCTCTCTCTCTCTCTCTCTCTGCGCATTTCAAATAAAAATCAATCAATCAACTTTTTTTTTTTTTTTGGAAAGAGCATGGGCTTAAGTACATAGTGCCTGGGTTTGAATCCAAGTTCTATGTCTATTCATAAATATCCTCATCTATAAAACTGAGATGATTATAGTAACTTCTCACTGTGGCATTTGATGATTAGATGACTTCGTCTTTGCTAAGGACTTAGGACAGTGCCTGACAAATGTAAGTACAGTATAACAGGTTGAAAAATACATTTTAGGGCAAGTGGACACCTTTTACTGAGCATGTACTTTGCTCACAATCCAGTAATTTTACAGCCCTCTGCCCCTAAAATTGAAACTTACTGAGTCCAGGCCCTCTAGAGAAGGGAGCCAGGCTCAGAGAGGCTAAGTGGATGACAGGATGTTATTGAACCATCTGCAACCAGAGGTTGAAGTTCTTGCTCCTCCTTCTAGCAGTGTTTCTACCAAGCTTTACCAGGTGCACTTAAGGTCACAAGCCTTCTGTGAACTTCAGCAACCAGGAAAACCCTGCCTGACACACAGCAGTGGAGTGAAGGTGTTACTTA